CTCTTGCATGGATTGCAAAGCAATGCGAGAGACAAGCAAACCAACCAGCACACTATCCAAGTTTGCATTTACCATACCAGGAAATCTAACGTGCTCTTTTGCTAATGTGGTATATCTGCTAGAATGTGTGTGGCATGCAATACATTGGACAAACGGAAACACTGTTTAGGATTTCTTTCAATATTCACGAAGCCCACGCATTAGCAGCCGCGAATCTTTCTGTATCAAAACACCCTAACTTTCCTGGCCACTCATTCGGCAAATTATGAGTCGCACTTTTAGACACAGGATTCAATGAAATCCAACCGGTAACGTTAAGAACATCAGTCCTACATCATACGTTGATTTATATTTATCACCCTTAAAAAAAGGCATAAATTCAAGTATAGGTACCCTTGCAGCAATCAAAGCACTATCCTATATATACATATATATAATAATATATATAATATATATATATATATATATATATATATATATATATATATATATATATATATATATATATATATTATATATATATATACATAACTTAACTCCTCACAACGCCTACTCGCTGGAGCTTCGTTAAGGCTGTGCCGTTTAGACCCTCAGTCCACAAACATGTCTCGAAGCGAGTGGGCGGACACCCTTTCGGCTCGCATCTCTTCACCGCAAGCCCCTCCTTTTTCTATTGTCAACCACCTGTGCAACCCTCCGACCTTCAATGGTCTCCGCGGCGAAGATGTTGAATACTAGCTTCATAACGTGGAGCGAGCAAGCGCAACTAATTAATGGGACGACTCTAACAAGCTCCGCCGAGTGTCACTTTATGTCGAGGGTGTTGGCAATTATGGTCCTACAACTATGAGATTCATTTCATCAACTTGCGTGCCTTCAAGAAGCAGCTCCGCCAAGTATTCGGCACACTTGCCGTTTGATCCGCTCTCGATAAGAGGACCCTAGATACTCTGCAACATTATCCCGGCGAGTCGTACACATCGTACATCGATAGATGTCCTTGCGCTCTGCCAGCGCGTCAATTTCCGATGTCTGAGTCAGTCAAAGTGTGTCACATCCTGAAAGCATAGCATATAATGCCCTTGTTGCCCAGAATCCTTCTGCTGTCGCTGACATAGTCTCTAGTTGTCAGTGTATCGATGAACTTGATTATGTTCACGTGCAGTCGGGCAATAGGGAACACCGTGCACCAGACCGGGACCGGCGGTACATGATACAGGCGATTATACGCGAAGTACTCCAGTCAGTTGGCTTCCCACCACCTCCTACATCTGCCACACCACCTTTAGGTATGGCCTTTCGTGACATCATAAAAGAGTAACTAACATCATTCACCGGCCAGCATAAACACCACGTTGCCGCTGCCATCGTTCGCGTCGGTTGCTGCTGCAACACCGGTGCACTTCCAGTCGATGCCGCCTGACCCTCCATCTGCCCACTTGAGTGCGCTATTTTGTGGTGCGCCGAACGCCTTCTACTACCGTCATAACACTTTTATCACACAAAATGCTTTTACTGTGAATACGCCAGCCATATATAGCGCTTCTGCCATGAGTGCCAGCAGTACGAGCGTCAGGGGTACGACATGCGTGAACGGGACTTTTACAGGAAGGATCTTTACCCCGGCGTTATTCATCTGTACAGCAGCGGTCTGCATCTCGGCCCGCATCGACTGAGACACGGAACATTTACCGCTGAAGCCGACGCTGATCGCCTTCGCCTTATCGTCGCTCGTCCTCCTCTCTTCGGCCAGCCTCGTTTACCTCTGACAACCGGCGGAAAAACTAAGTGATGCAGTTTTCGGAAAAGAACTGCATGTAACAGTAGGACTGGTAGTCCTCCAGCACGACCGTTCAATATGGTTTCTATTATGGTGAAAGAAGTTCTCGTAGATGCTTTGGTGGAGGCCGGTGCTACAGTTTCAGGAATTAGTTATGACTTGTGCAAACGCCTAAAGAACAGTGACACCTTATAATGTGCCCTCTCTGGTCGAAGTCGAGGGGAACACTATCCACCCTTTTGCTCTTTGCTCTGCTAGTGTTTTTATCGATGAAATCATTCACTACATCCAGTTCACTGCGCTTACCCGGTGCTTCCACCAGCTGATTCTAGGGTGGGACTTCCTTCTTCTCCGGTTGCCATATGTTGTGGTGAATGGATTCTGCACCTTACTAATATGGACTCCATGTTCAACGAAGTCTTCTACAAGCCACTACGCCTGTTCGCTCCCGAAGATCTTGAACTTCCGCCTCATCAAGAGTGAATTGTGACCCCGAGCTCTAAGGACATCGACCACGGCAACATCTTGGTGTCCCATCCGTCGACTTGCGTTGCTAAAGGCATAGCCTTTCCGTCAGGTGTGGTACGCTTTAACTATGGCACTGCGCTGGTCATTGCTACAAGTGTAACATTGGAGAAAGTTCTCTTGCAGAGAGCACGCAGTAACCTGTGTCGGGGAGGCTGAGCCTGTCAACGTCACGCCACCTTAACTTGCCTCTAGCAATGACCCTTCTACTCATAAGCCTGGTTATTCTTCTTCCTTCACAGCACTTATCAGTGACGAGTTAACAACTATGCAGGCGCAGCAGTTGCTTGCTTTGTTAACAAACCACACCGATTCTTTTGACGCCTGCTCCTCGATGTTGAACCGAACTACCACTGGAGCGCTTAGCATTCAGACCGAGGGAACATCTATTGTGCATCGCCATCCGTACCGTGTTACTTTCGCTGAGCGAAAAATCATTAAGAAAAACGTCGCTGACATGCTTCAGCGAGAAATAATTCGGCCATCAGCTAGCCCATGGCCATAACCTGTTGTTTTGGGACGGAAAAAAAGATGGCTTCGTGTGATTTTGCGTCAATTACCGGGCACTTAACAAGATCACATGCAAGGATGTGTATATTGTAATCATGACATTTCAAGATTTCGCGGCAATATAACGGCGACAAGGATTGCAAATATCTTTCCATGTTTCCGTGTAACTACTTTCTATATTGTACAACTGTTGTCTATTTCTATCTCTCTTACTGAATCAATGAATGATTGTAAGCCCGACATGTCGAACAGCTATCGTATAGACAACTGAATGCCCTCAAAGGCAGATTATCAGAACAAAATAGTATTCACTTAAACGCCTATTTCCGTATTTCGGCTAGACTGCCTGGCACCCTTTCAAAGCGAGCCAGCCTTGAGAAACTTTTTCTTCTGCGCCGCCTCTCTGAAGCCTCGGTACACTGTCTCCGACGCCCTATTAGTGATGGTTGGTTAAAAAGAAAAAAAATTCTGCAATACGCAATCCCCTTCCGAATATTATTAATATCCGAGCTCTGAGTTTGATAACTCAAGATTTACAACCTTGAGTTTTAAACATACAAAAGCAATATACGATTGTAACACATGCCGCAGTGAGAGCTAAGGAAATTTTGAAAACCTGGTGTTTTTTAACGTGCTGCATATAGCAGAGTACAGGCGTATGTACCATTACGCCTCAACCAAAAAGTGGGGACCGATGCCGCGTTCAACCCTGCGACGTTCTGGTCAGCAGCCGGGCGCCCTAGCAACTGATCCACCGTGGCAGATAAGAGATGATGTTTTTATGCAATGCGCTTTCGTCACAAATTATACGCTCATGTGACAGACCACACGAAGGTCATTCGGATTGATGGAGCAGCCATTTTTTTTTCGAAAGGGGTAAGCTTCAACTGAAAAAGCGAAAATAGAGGCAGTTGTTCCTGCATAGTGGACATTTATAGGTCACTGCTCAAGCGCAAAGTATTCACAGCTCAGTATATATTACTAGCTTGCCTTGTGCGTTCTTTTCCTGCATACTTCGTGGTTGACGAGAGGGCTACTACGAATTTTAAGCTTCTTGTTGTCCTTTGAGCAACAAGTCACTTTGATGTAAGGTACTTATTCATTCGCTGTTGCGACGACATTGATACTTCTCTTTCTCGAAGACACTTTTCAAAGTATTTCAAACTTAAACCTATTTTTGTTTGTTTACGAAGAAAATATTGAGAGTTCCTCTTAGGGCACGTAGTACACGACGTTATGTTTATTGTGAAAGCCTGGTACTTGAGACGTGCATTATCATTACTGCAATTGGTCTCTAGCATTAAAATCTTCAAAATCTTACTACAATTCGTTTATGAAAAAAAAGGCTAATGGCGTAATATTACTCCTGAGTCAAAATTATGATACACCAATGTGAAAAACTGCATAACAATTGGCTAAAAGCTTTTTTGTTACATGGACAAATTCGCCCTCAAACGCGTGGAAGCACTCCAATACAAAGCATAAACAAAATAATCGTTTATATTTTCACACTCAATTGTTATTCCGAATGGCCTCTTCTACACTGTGACTACCAAGTGGTAATGCTCATTTTTAGACGCGAGCTCATGTGTTAGTTTTGTAAGGAGCTACCACATTGTTGAGGTTCTGTCTCAAAAGACGTAGTGAAGGTTGAGTTTTAATGGATGATAGAATAGCTCAACACAGTACTGTGAAATTATGGTACAATCAAGACGACCTAAAGTGCGATAGTTGCGTAATAATTTTACAGTTCAATAGGCCAGAACAAGGTGAATTTTCCCGCATTTTGTTAAAAAAGGGGGTTTTCTCAAGGAAAAATTGTTTCCCCACTGTTTTTCCAAAGGCAGTTGCATATAAATGCCTGCCCTGTGTATGTGTTTTGTTCTTTTGTGTGGTCATGGTTTTGGCACACAATCGACAATTTATTTGAATCATGCATTAACTAGCCCAACAGCAAGTTCTACATGAGGTAGTCAGTAGAGCTACACAACACATGTCACTAGTTAATCTTCAAAAAAGTCAAATCATAATTCAAGACCAACTATAAAAAATTGTAAAAAGTGTGTCCAGGTTTCCATTCAGGTGTTTTTTTCCCTTTCACCTAAAGCATTTGATTGGGGGAAGAACATTGATTTGTTTCCAGGCAATAGCTGCTGACATAGCCATTTCGAAAATTTCTTTTCAGAAATGCTGGGGTGGAATGTGCACAGGCGGTGCTCCCACCAATTGTGAATGCCCCACTCCTATTGAAGCGTTGTTTGGAATCAAGAATTGTCGATGAAGAAATCTTTGATCAACCTGTACTATCTTAAAATACACGTTGTTGAAAGAAACCTCTGTTTATTATTTTATTTTGCAAGAAGGCAATATTATTAGGAAATGTAGGCTTTTAAACAAAGTACTGACTACTCCTTAGCCTTTCTTGTAGTTCAACGAAGTAACACAACAAAATTACTCACACATTGTAGGACACAAAAAAAGACACAAATACACATGGTGAACGACACCTTCACAGCGTAAAAATCGTACAAAAGTATAATTATAAATGAATTAATCATGTTTATACACGTCATGAAGAAGAATGCTCATAAGTTGGCAATGAAACACTCTACGCATTATAGCATAGAAATATTTGCAGCAAAAAGTGGTACCTGCAATAACAGGTGGGTTAATGAGTGACCAGCACTTGCAAAGTAACACAGGTAACAAAGTTATTACATTAGTTTGTTTGATGAGGTAAATACATTTATTGATAACAACGTACTTACAATATTTATAAAGCGACCAGTATTTAAACGGAGATTGAAGTGTTTTTCAGTGATGAGAAGCTGTATGGGGAAGCGCCAGCGAGAATTCGTAATCATGACTCTGAGTTCTGCATTAGAAAAGTGCAGTGGTAGTCACCGGCGACAAAGTCACTCGTACCCTACTAGCCTCGCGAAACATTACTTGTTGACGCACAAATTGCAGACACTGTGCGTGAAAAAGTGTGAATACAAGGGACAGAACGCTAAAGAAAGCAAACATAGAAAACGCAATCAACTAAGTTTCTCAACACGACACAAACAATGAATCACCAAAATTGTATATCCACTGTTGATTCTATCGCTAGCGCTGGTGGACTACCAAACGAAGAGGAAGAAGAGCCAGCAAGCGCGACAGAATTTTATCACTTGGCGGAACTTCATTTGGTTACTGCCACAGAGATGTATGCTCCGCTCTGTTTGATTACATCAACGCAACTAAAAGATTAGCATGCTAGTGAACCACTACCTTTTCAGATCTTTAGTTTATAATTCGTAGTTATGTCTTTCGAAAAACAAAAGATGGTTTGACCGCTTGCTCAGCACACATTTTTGTTTTTTGGTAGTATTATTTTAAGCTACTTTTTCAGATTGGCTTCATTTTCAGTTTAGTTTCATTTAAGTATCCTGCCGCCCGGTTCTTGGCCCATCCCCCTTTGTGGGTAAGCGCCATTCATCAGAGGTCATCAGCATCAGCATCAGCATCAGACACGGGGTCCTCCAACTGTTAGCAGGGTCCTTTAAGCCTCCTATCTGTAAATGAGGCCACTTTTACTACCTAGACGGATTCGAGTACTTCTAAGGCTGCTCCACGCTATATTTTCACACGTTTTGGTACCGATCGACCCGTGATAGATGGAACGACGGCTATGATTAGCCTGGAAGACATGAACAGGCTAAAAGCAAAGCGGATGCGCGACGATCTTCGATCAGCCGGATCATTTATGAGGCACGTTCCATACTTCAAAACGACTCCACGACGCAAGAGCAGCTCGGTTCCATTTCCGAGAGGCTGAAAACGAACAATGACGAACTCAACAAGATAAACTCTGAAATGAAACTTCGAAGTCTTTGTCTCCTCTCACACAAGGACTTCGAAGACGAGTGCGCTACAATTTAGAATACGGGGACAATATGACGCGTATTCTGGCCGAGCCCGTAAGCAGGCAGAAACGCATTTCGAGTACAGAAGCAGAAGTCGGATCAGTGACGGCAACCCATAGAATCGCTACACCATCTGACAGGACGTGAGCCAAGTTACCGAAATTCGCAATGACGCCCTTCTCAGCAGATATGTGTAAATGGATGAAGTTCTGGGCGCAATTCTCCCAGCTTGTCCATAACAATGCTACCCTGACCGCGACGGAGATGTTCCATCATTTGTGGCAGTTTTTGAAAGGAGACATTGTCTCAGCGATGGCCGGTCTCGTATCGATAGAAGCATGTTATAAGGACGCTATAGATATGCTACAAAAGCTCTTCGGTGAGAAGACGCACCAGGAACAGGAATATTCCGCAAGATTGCGTATTTTGAATCCTGTTCGTTCATCCGGTGACACAAGCGTTGACACAAGAGCCCTGCGACAACTCTATGAGCAAGTGATCGTCAACATCTGAGGAGGGGAATCACAGGGTGTACAGGGAGAGCTTTGTTCTCGTCGATTCTCTCCGACATCATACTTGGAGCAATGCACCGAGACGTCGCAATCCTATATCACCGTACCTGTGCTACACAAGGGCCTACGGACCATGCTGCTATCCTTCGAGGCTTGACGGTCTCCTGACCTACCTTTCAATCAAGCTGGAGAGCTTGGAAAGGGTGATTACAAGAATATCAGTGGACGAGACAGCGGTGGTCAACATTCTTCGAGCTAGCCAGCCGAAAATCGCAGCTGGGACCACCCGACTTCATCTGTTCTGCTAACAAACTCCTCTAAAGGTTTCGAAGGTTTTTGTGTTCTGCAAATCAAAGCAGCCCTCCATGAAGAGTGTCCCACGTACATATCCTTGACACCGAAGAAAGAAGTGCTATTGGGTAATAAACGATGCTTCTGATGTACCATGAAAGGCCACAGGACACGCGACTGTAAGCGCAAGATATCGTGTTTGAAGTGCAAATGCCGACATGCCTCGACTATTTGGGGCCCTGAAAGAATTACTATGAGCACAAGCGAAAAAAAGTCGGAAGCAAGGAAAACATCATTGGTTGATTGTGGAAAAGAAGCAAGCTTCTCTGGCTATACCATACCGAGTTGAATTGCTGAACGCCATGATATGTGTGCGTTTATACAGACAGTGTCCAGCCTTTCGAAAGAAAAGACCCACGCGATGACTGCGCGATACGCTAACTGCAAGCGGCTCATCCAGAAGAAGGATGCTGCAAAACAACAAGTTGTCGGACTTCAAAGTGATGTAGAGCTGGCAGCATTGCTCGACGTCAAGATGACTGAGTTGCGATCAATTATGTGTGAAGAGAGAAATAACCGCGAACGAGAACAGAGTGATAATTCGACCATGGTAAGATAACTTCAATTGCTGCTTTACGAGGAGTGACAAGAACACCAAAAATTGGTATATCAACTCAAACAAGGCATGCGGAAAGCTGCTCAGACCGATTTGCTGAGCAGCTTTTGAAGACACAACAGCAATTGAATAAGAATTTGTACGATGTGCGAAAGCTCCTGACTGCAGCACAAGAGAAGCTACGGCATGCAAACTCTGTGGTTCCCGACATGCTGCAGGAGATCGTTGAGGAACGGTACCATGTTGAGTTAGTCCGATGACAGGAGCAGACAGAAAGCAGAGTGGAACGTCCGCATCAGCAGACGACGGGAAGCGAAGCATGACTGGCTAGCCTGGGAATTCGTCCAGACGAGTCGTCATAAGCAGTGGGTGTGAAGTAGCTATTGCTTACTCAAAAGCATCCTGTCGTCGAGAAGCTTCAAGGTCATCTCATGCAGTTTTCTGCAGAAGACGCATTTGTTGATTATACTGCGGACATCGGGGCCAAGGCAGCAAACTTCCCTTGCTAGAACAGCAACCTAGCCAGGAAGGCTTCGGTGGACTGTTTTACCAAAGAGCACAAACAGGTGGTAGAGTTAAAACAGAGGAGTTAGAGGCTGTTGACTAAATTGCCTTCTTCCAGGAGCTGGTGGGAAAAGATGTCCTCAGTCTGCATTCCAAGTGGAAAGAGAAGGCTTGCTAAATGAAAACACAGTTTCAATACTAAAACGCTGACGATGATTGGACAAATTAGGCTAGACGACTATGCAATTTTCCATAGATATTTCAGTCAAGAACTTCGCGTGGTAACTTCCGCTCTTTCACCGTGGAACAACGGGGAGGTGATGACGTAACAAAGTCCGCCCGAAAGTTCCAGTGCCTAGAACTGTGCGGCCAACTTCACCGCTCGGCCGGGAACGTTAATTCTATCGCAAGCACTGACACACCAAGAAACCAAGAGGAAGAAGCGTCAGCAAGCACGAAAGAAGAAACGGGGTCCTCCTACTATTAACAGGGTCCTCCAAGCCTCATACCCGTAAAAAAGCCTATTTTACTACCTCGATGGATTTGAGTACTTCTAAGGCTGCTTCACGCCATAAACTACCACATCACACCCGAACCATACAGATTTTCACAGTGAATATTTTAACGCACATTTTCACTTAACCATGACTTCTGCTTTAGTGACAAATTTGCTACACCAGTGCATTTCATTTCCGCAAGAGCAGCGTATTTGGGACAACCTATTTCAACACTGTCAGCTGCATTGACAGCGCATGTCATCGATGTTCAGCGCATTGCAAAAATGAAGGACGATGATTAGTGTGCATGTGATTAGTGACATGATAGCATTGCGTGGACGCATCACCATGAAATATTCTTGGCGTGATGGCCAAAAAACTACTCCTAGGAAACCCACGAGAAGAAGCCATATTTGAAAATTACTCATATATTTTAACGCAAAACGTAAGAATTCTGTATATTTGCCATATAAGACATACAGATTTCTTGAAGGGGCCCTGTAACACTTTTTTAAGTAACCATGTGTATAATTCACTAGAAAAATGTATTGCCTCGTAAACAAACGCCGCAAAAATTTTAAGAATTTGTCTAGGTAGAGCGGAGTTACAAAGATGTCACACGCTGCAATCACAATCTATCTTCTCTCGTCCCGACGAAAGCGCTGGAAGCTAAGCATTGAGGGATGGGAGGGGCAAACAAAAAAGTCACGCGCTCCTTGTGACCTTGAGCAGTTTTTTCTTCTAATACGTAGCTTTTTTAGTGCGATAGCGCACGTATGCGTGGACAAGTGATGGCCTCCCGCGGCAATTTCTGTAACATCCGAGTGCGCCATGTTTATTGCAGACAATGGCTGATAGATAGATCTGCTATGAGTGCTTTTAAGCCTATTGTGTGATTTGCCGAGAGAAGAGAAAGCTATTTTAGCTGACTTTGATAACTTACAATGAATTCCAGTCTGGTTGTTGCGCTCGAATATTTTTCTCGCGTGTTGTCGGGATCTTCTA